CGCCGAGTCGGAGCTCGAGTACAACGACGAGCACACGTCGCAGTCGGCGTACATTCGCTTCCGCCTCAAAGCCCCCGCCGGTGTCCTGTCGGCCCACGCCGCCAACGCCACGGTAATCGATCCTTTCTGGCCGTCTTTGTTGAATCACACGTCATGACAACTAGATCTCGGCCGTCATTTGGACGACGACGCCATGGACGATCCCGGCCAACCGCGGTCTCTGCTTCCGGTACACAACCCTAACCTCGCTCTCGTGACGACCTCACGTATTTGTTTTCTCTAGGAGCGACTTGACGTATGCCCTCATCGAGACAGCGCCAGGTGCCTACGACCTCGTGGCACAGGACCTTGTCGAGACGTATGCCAGCACGATCTTGCAGCAACATGACATCAAGATCGTTGCGACCTTCTCGGGTGCCGACGTCCTCGGCAACGTCTTTGCCAACCCGTTGGACGAGAGCGTCGACTCGATTGCGCTTCTCGGCGGCCATGTGACGACCGACGCGGGTACTGGCGTGGTGCACACGGCGCCGGCCCACGGCCAGGAAGACTACCAGGCGTGGATGGCGCACCACGCGCAGTTTGGCACGGACAACAGCATGACGTGCCTTGTCGACGGCAAGGGCAAGTACACGGCCGAGGCCGGTCCGCATCTCGCGGGCCTCTTTGTACAGACCAAGGGCACGGCCGCGGTCCTCGAAGCGCTCAGCGCCAAGGCAGAAGCGCTCGTGCATTCGGCCAAGCTCGTCCACCGTTACCCGTACGACAATGTTATCCCCATTGCGTTGATGGACAATGTGACGAACGGAATCATGCATGTCTAGGTACGACTGGCGCACGAAAAAGCCGATCATTCTGCGGGCGACCAAGCAGTGGTTTGCCAAGCTCGATACGCTGCATGCGCTCGGCCATGACGCACTCAACGACGTGGCCATGCACCCCAAGTCGTCCCGCCGCCGCTTGGAAGCGACGCTCTCGAGTCGGAACGAATGGTGCATCTCGCGCCAGCGGGCGTGGGGCGTCCCGATCCCCGTCTTTTACGATGTGGAGACGGACGAGCCGCTTTTGACGACCGACTCGATCGAACACGTGCAGCGTGTCATGGCGGCCAACGGCGGCTCGGACGCGTGGTGGACGCTGCCGCTTACTGAGCTGCTGCCGCCCGGATACGATCCGGCCAAGTTCCGCAAGGGCATGGACACGCTCGACGTGTGGTTTGACTCTGGCAGCTCGTGGCTCGCCGTTTTGGATGGCCGCCCGGCCGACATTTACCTCGAGGGCTCGGACCAGCATCGTGGTTGGTTCCAATCGTCGCTCCTCACGTCCCTTGCGGTGCAGAAGAAGGCGCCGTACAAGCAAATCATCACGCACGGCTTCATTTTGGACGAGCGGGGGCAGAAAATGTCCAAGTCCCTCGGCAATGTCCTCGTGCCAAGTGACATTATTGACGGCAAAAAAAAGCAAAACATCCCTGCGTACGGCGTCGATACCATGCGGTTTTGGGTCGCGACAACCGACTACACCAACCAAGTGTCGGTCGGCCCCTCGACGATGGTCAAGGTCAGCGACAGCGTCCGCAAGGTGCGCAACACGGCACGGTTTCTGCTCGCGAATTTGAACGACTTTGACCCGCGCACCGACATGGTGCCGTACGAAGACTTGACGCCGCTCGATCAGTACATGCTGCACTTGCTCTCGGAGCTTCAGACGACCGTCACGGACGGGTAGGCTCGTCTCTTCGTTTTTTTTGCGATTTTCCGTATTGATGTCGAGGGGTAGGTATGAGACCTTTGCGTTCAACAAGGTGCAGCAAGCGCTCGCGCACTTTATTGCGACGGACCTCTCGGCCTTTTACATGGAAGCGTGCAAGGACCGCTTGTACTGCGAAGCGCCGCAATCCCCGCTCCGCCGGTCGACGCAGACGGTATGTCTTTTTCGGATTTCCGGTTTTTTTGGATTTTCCGATTTTCAATTGTCGGATTTTCAACGTGTTTTTGGACGTGTGTAGGTGCTGGAAATGGCGCTCCGCACGATCAACACGGCGATCGCACCCGTGATTTGCCACACGGCCGAAGACATTCGCATGCACCGCCTCGCACAGTACACCAAGCAGCTCATCAACGACGTGCCGGGCAGCGTCTTCCTTGACGGCTGGTTCCACTCCGAGGTACCACGACGCTGAAAAGCGGAAATCTGAAAATATCGTGTCCATGACGATAGGCGCAATGGCACAACCCGGCGCTCGCCAAGGACTGGGACATCCTCCGCCAGCTCCGGTTTGAAGTCAACCGCGTCGTCGAAGCCATGCGTGACGCCGGCGACGTCAAGACGACGCTCGAGTGCAACGTGCACATCGGCGCATCACCCGAGCTCCTCGCGATCCTTGCGCGCGTCGATGGCCGCGTCCTCGAAGACATGATGCTCTGCTCGGGCATCACGCTGACGCCGCTGACCACGGACGCGTCCCACACGCTTCAAGTCGGCGACGCGTCGCTGCCGTTGCATCTCACGGTGACGCTCGCGAGCGGCCACAAGTGCCCGCGCTGCTGGAAGTACTCGCCGGACGTTGACGCCGCCATGACCACGCTCTGCGAACGCTGCGCCATTGCGTGTGGCCATGCGACCGTCGACGCGCTGGTTGACGCGCTCACGCCCAACGACGCCTAAGTGTCGGCGCGATAGCACGCTGGTAGAGAGGATAGAGGACCCTTTTTTGTGTCAAGATTTTGATTTTGCATACCCTTCGGACTGCTGCAGGTGGCACGCAGCCGTCGAGGCCCATCGAACAGCGCGCGTCGCTAATACCTTGCGTACAAGTTGGGCTCCGGACAATTCGCGGGACAAGGTGCTATCTCTCACGCTGAGCACAATGCTGGAGATATTGCGCTGCTCGGGTCTTGAAGAAGACTATGTATGGTGTTGGTGCAGCTGAGCGACGCTTCGCATCCACCGCCTGCCCATCGGCGGTTGCGATTATACAAACGTACAAGCCACAGTGTGTTCTGCATCCACATCTTGCTGCAATTGCTCATGGGCGTTTGGACCATCTCATTTTCGTATGGCAGCGGCCGTCAACGATAACCGGCTCCACTATACGCTGCCGCCGTACGTCTAGCACACGAGTCCCCGAGTTCCAATCGGTTCACGACGCTTTTCTGTACCTCAACGATGTGGCGGGGGCGGCACGACGGCGTTGTCGCCTGCGGCCGTACCCAGCACGCTCTGGTCACCGACACGCGCGACCTTGAATGAACGCAACAAGGGGCGAAGCGTGGCTGCGAAAGGCTTGAGCGCCGCGTTCTTTTACGTATTGACGCCCGATTGACCCGCTAAGCGAGCACGGGGGGTGCCCCCCAATGGGGCATGGTATCGAGGGGGGCGAAAATGCATGCTTGTGGACCGACGACGCCAACGAGGGCACGCTCTTTTGGGAGTGCTCGCGCAATTACGCTATTTCATACGAGTGCCTTGAACACGACACGCCGATGGTAAGTGCTCCCGAGCGTCCATGTACCATATATTTCTTTTTATGCACCTTTTTTTCTGGTACATGGTCGTACACGCGCGCAGACTCTGCGTTTCATGTCGACAAGAATCGTGTGTCGTGCCCGATCCAATGCCCACTACGTCGTCGAGGCGGTGGCAGCAATAAAGGCTGCGATGGCCGCAACGCCGCGCGCCGCCATCTCGTTGAAGAAGAAGCCCAAGACAGGGGTGATGTGGGGGGCGAGGGGCTCGACTTGAACCGTGAGCAGCACGTTTTGGCGCCACAAGATCTCTTCGAGGCGCTTGCAGTCGTCGCTAAACGCTTCCTTCCCGCCGTAATGCAGTAGCATCGGACACATGCCGGTAAAGTCGCCATGAATCGGCGACACGAGCGGATCCTGCAGCAGTGCCGCCGGCGCGTCCGTCGGGAGGTACGCATCCACGTGGAGGCGCAGGTGGTGGGCGTGGATGACGTCGACGGCTTTGTACTTGGCATACGACGGCGCCAGCGCGGTGACGTCGGCGTTGCACCACGGCGACACGAGCACAGCGCCGGTGGGCGATCGAAGCGGTGTCGCTACCATCCACTGTTTCAGACACTGTATACAATCGATGCAGGGAAATCGAGGTACCTCGGGCACGCAGCGTTTGCAAAAGGGCCAAGGCAAGGTTGCCGCCGGCCGAGTCCCCAAACAAAAAACATGTCGCGATGGAAAGGTCGTCACAAGGTACTCGTACGCGGCTTGGGCTTCGTGGATCTGGGTTGGAAACTATCGACAAGTTGTGCATCATGCCATCAACATGCAATGTTAAAAGTGCGCACCCGCGCCTCGGGTGCCAGCGTGTACTCAAGCGCAAGCACGCGCAGATCGATGCCATGGGTTGTAGCCAGCGCCGTGCGCAACTCGGCGAGACCAGAGAGGTACGTCCGTGCGTCGCAGGTGGTGTAGCCGCCACCTGTAATGGTCCATGGTATGGGTCGTGAACGCAAGAGACGAGCGTACCGTGCATGTAGAGCAGGATTGGGTCGGTGCTGCTGGCATCTGGGGCGTCGCCGAGCCAGAGGCCTTGAAAGCCAGGACCAGAGACGTCAGCGATGCTATCTCGGATGCCGAGGTTGGCCACCCTGGACGAAAGCACCGCCATGCGCCGCGCCGCCATGCGCTCGTTCTCAAGGATGAGGTTGAGGTACTGCACCGAGAGCGCGGTGCGGAGCGACCAGCCGTCGACGGGCGGCGTGTAGCGGCCGAGGCAGTACTGAACCAGAGTCGACAGCGCCATGCCGAGAAAGCGCAGCCCGAGTCGCAGCGGCGTCTGCGGCGGCATCATTGGCAGCGACGCACGCCACTCCATTGTCGTCGGCCGAGTGCAAATCGCGATATGATCACCACCTGGTTCCTGACCACCCGAGTCTGAGTCTGGCGGTCAACCCACGTGCTTTCGACCGTAGCTGGCCACTGTCAATGTCCCGCAGTATTGTAGTAGCATGTACGCGCCCTCCCTGCTCTGCCTTGCTACCGACTAGAGAACCCCCCTGTCTCGGTTGATTCGTGATTTGTTTCCAAGGGAATAGACCGGCTGCAGAATAAAAGCGTTTGTTTCACTGTTTCAAACGCGTTTTAAACGGGTTTCAAACGGTATAAACTGTTGCTTGACGTGGCATTCTGAAAATCCTCTGTGGCCCAATCCACTTGTACGAGAAACTCATCGACGGCGACGACGTCGTCGTCCACGAGCGAAACGTCCTCCTCCGCGCCGTCTACATCATCCACGTCATGATCTACTTCTACCCTAGTGACAGGTGCAATATGCACCGCTCGAGACGCAATGTGGCGAGGACGCGGACGATGCGATCCAGGATGACAAAGTTGTTGGTTGTTGAGGCATTCCGCATTAGGCTGGGAGCTGGACCCACGGCGCTGAGGGGGTGACCGGCGGCGACAAATTTTAAACCCCGGTGGCAAAAATTATATATTCTTCGCGCTGCAAATCGGTGCGCTGGATAAAGGATGTTTCCCGCGCTCTGAATTGCAATCGGAACGGTCGTTGTCGACGATGATTGGCTCCAACAGGACGATTGTGATTGGCTATGGAAGCGCTGAGACGCCATCGCCGCGGCTGAAGTGACTCAAATGCCCACGATGGATTCGTCTGCATGCCAAAATAACAAATCCAGAAAGGCTAGTTCGTACACGATCGCTTCGGACATATCAATGGCACCCATCATCGGTTGTGGAGGTCATGGGATCGATCCTCGTACACTGCCATGAAAGACTTGCGCACCTATGACAAAGGCAAGCTCCTGTAGCACAAGGGTCAAGCCGACGGCGCAATAGACCCGATCCACTCATGCAAGCTCGGCATCCGTACTGCACTGTGAAGAACGCAACGACTCCACGCGTTCGTTCACCAACTCGAAGATTTCGACACTTCACGGTTGGTTTTGGCCGTTGCATCCACCCGACGCTTGGATCCGAGTGGTTTTCACCAGCGCTCGTGGCTCGTTTCCCCTAAGGATCACTCAAATATGGTTGTTTTTCCTTTCCCAGCGGAATTAGTTTTATTACTCGATTTCACTATGCCAGTCTCCGTCATATGAATATAAATCCAGATCAGGTACAGTGAGCAGCCCTTCCACTTCCTGCCTCTCGGACACACTCCTCTGCGGCTCTGGTTCGTTCTCTTCTTCAACTCTCTCTCCCGAGTGCTTCACAGCTGCTAGTTTGTTGCTCGTGGACCTCGCAAATTGATAACAACACAGGGTCCATCGCGATCAGTGCTTTGCTTCTGGTCACGAGACTCGTGTTACACGGGCCATCATCCGCGGACTCGGACCGCGGCATGTTTTTGGCCATGAATCCAATCTTTTTCATTTTTCCCTACCCGATACGACGGCGCACCATTCAACTCGAACTCGTGTTGCCTCTTTCCATTCAAATGGATTCCTAACGTTTGTGTACTTTGAGAAAGACCGATCCATCCATACACAGCCTGCACCAACGATGACGTCACGTCGTGCCCTTTACTGAATTCCAGCTGGCGGACCTTCTCCATGTTGCCATGTTGCTCACGCCATCGGGTATGGTTGCCGAACAGTTTGCCGAAGGTCATTTTGGGGGCTTGGCATTTTTGGCGTTGGTTCACTTTTTGCTTTGTTCTGCATGTGGCAACCGATTGTTATTGGCGTCCTCCTCGCACTCGTCTTCGTCGGCGCTGTCGCCGTCGGGCTCAAGCAGCGCCACTCGCCGCCCCCGCGCGGTTTCAATCCCGGTCCCCGACAGCGCTCTTGTGTTTTCGGTACCTTTGTCTCGCCTTTTACCTCGTCGTGCTCGTTGCGCAGTGGATCAAATCTGGCTTTGCCGCCTACAACTTTTACACGTTCTGGAACTTCAACCTCCAGGCCGTCTACTTTGCATGGACGCTGCTCGCCTGTGTCGTCGGGTCGGTCAACAGCCGCGGGCTCAACACCCTTTTTGATGTCGTCTTTGCCAACAGCTTTGTCGTCGCGGCCGTCTTTTGGGGCGTGCTCTACTCGCCCAAATACGGGGTCACGTGGCTCCAAGTGGCCCAACACGGCGTCAATTCGGTGCTGCTCCTCCTTGAATTTGCACTCAACGATTTCTCCGTGCAGCCGCGCAGCTTGATATATGCGTCGTTTCTGCTGCCTGACGTCTTTGCTGCATTTGCGTGGGTCGCGCGCGAATGCTGGCTGGACTATTGGGTCTACTCGTTTCTCAATGTCTACAAGGTTGCCTCCCCGCTGTGGTACGTGGGCATGCTTCTCGGCCACTGCGTCTTTTTGGCCTGGCGATCGGTCTCTCCAAGCTCAAGCAGAGTGTTCGGCGCGATGCCACGGAGCTTGCATCGCCCTTGATGCGCGAGTCGATCAGTGTTCAAAAAGTCTAGTTGTTCTGGAAGTGGGCCGTCTATTACAATAGATAAAACTGTGCTCGTTAAATTGTCGGACTTTTTCGTTGTGTACACTCGGTTAAGGAGCTTCCAAAACATCCAGTTGAAAAAAATGAAAGTGAGTGCCAATTTAAGTCGAAAGGAATAATGCGAAGCTGTAGCGCGGCGATGTGGAATCGACTTGCGTCCGGCGTGGTGTCAGACAATGTGTTGCGCTCGTACGTTTGGGTCGTGGACGACAGCACCCAATTGCTGCATTTTTGTGGCAGTAGATGCCTCATACAGTGGTTGAGCACTGGATGAGGCATCTACTGCCACATTTTTTCACAAATCGTCATTATCCGACATGCATTTACCTTTCGGTCATACCTGGCATACAATGGTGGTTCCCAATGCGATCCTTAATGGTTGGATCCGAATTGCAGAGGTATCATGCTGGACTGTACATGTACCATCGAAATGGCGAAACGTTGAGTTGTGGTCAGGTTTCTGTACAATCACACACAACAACAACAATTGCTGCTGGTCATGCCACCCAGCGACATCAATCTGGCCTCAACGCATTTCTCGCCGCTTCATTTTTATTTTACTACGCAGTCTATTTGAGACCAAACGTACCCCAGACTGCAATAAATTAGGCGCAAGAATAGACTCCTGCACTCAATAGTTTTCGAACTGCACAACCCACCGCACAATCCAACTGGGTGGGTCGCAGGTGTTCGATGGTTGGTGTTTAGTTGTCCGCGTCGCTGGTGGTGGTCGGTCTTTTGGCATTCTTTTTTTGCCAGTCACGAGATAATGTGGCAACCCGTTGTCGTCGGTGTCTTTCTTGCGCTCGTCCTTCTTGGCGCGGTCCTCCTCTTGCTCCGCCAGCGAGCGTCCCCCGCACCACCGTCCGTGTGCTATCAAACTCGGTATCCCAAGGTCCTGCTCGGTGTGCGGTGCATGAGCCTCGCCTTTTACATCACCGTCATCCTCGCGCAGTTTATCGAAGCGGGCATGACCGCCGAGTATGTCTACTACACGTTCTGGAACTTCAACCTCCAAGCCATTTACTTTTGCTGGGCAATCGTCGCGTCGATCGTCGGGTCAGTCGACAGCCACCGCCGCAACACCCTCTTTGACGTGATCTTTGCCAACAGCTTTCTCATTGCGGGCGTCTTCTGGGGTGTGCTCTACTCGCCGATTTACTCGGTCACGTGGCTGCACATGTCCCAGCACGGCATCAATTCGGTGCTCCTTTTGCTCGAATTTGGACTCAACGAGTTGCATATTCAGCCGCGCAGCCTGGTCTATGCGTCGTTTCTGCTGCCCGACGTCTTTGGCGCGTTTGCGTGGGTCGTCCACGAATGCTGGGTTGACGACTGGATCTACCCGTTTTTGGACGTCACCAAGGACGTCGCACTGCTCTGGTACCTCGGGATGCTCCTCGGCCACTGCGCCTTCTTTGGTCTTGCGATGGGACTATCCAAGCTCAAGGCGCATTGGCACCGACACGCGCCGCCTGTAACCTCGCCGTGGCTGGACGCACCTCTGAACAATGAAGAGAAGGACCAACCACTTCGCCTTGTCTGACCAACTAACTTATACAAGTATACAATTCTACTCGAGGGTTTGTACACGTCCCCGTAGCACCCCACAAGCGACGCATGGAGGCGTTTAAGTTCTTATAGTATCAAGAGGGCGTCGATACGCTCTTATAGTATCTGGAGAGTTCCAGTACGTTCATACACTTCTCCGAGGCGTCGGCGGGAGCTTCGTGAGCGATCACCACTGAGTGCAGCCTGTTCTGCATCACGTGATGGATAGAATGCTATAGATAACTGATTTCTCGTGCTGCATCACCTGCACTGTCGTTCTAGGTTTCTGAAAGTGCTAAACCATCTACCGACCAAATACATGGGATATCAAGGGTTAGGGCTATGCCGGTGGATGTGAATAGAGGTGCATCTCTATCTATCTATCTATCTATCTATCGATCTATCGATCTATCGATCTATCGATCTATCGATCTATCGATCTATCGATCTATCTGTCTGTCTAAGGGGCAGGTTTGATTCTATTCTCACTGTGTTGCGAGCCATTCATTGTCTATGGACAACTCGGGGATGCTATCGGTAAACACGCATTAAAAGACTGTGGATAACAAGTCAGAAAGCGTCCTATATTTCAATCTGCGCTAAGCTTTTGTCAGCGCGTCCGACGACAAGTACGATGAGAGCAGCGGTTCAGAAGGTGTCGCTGGCTGACGCACACACCGCTTGAGCTTGGCGAGACCGAGGGCGACGCCAAAGAAGATGCCGTGGCCGACAATGAGTCCCATGTACCAAAGCGGCGCGACGGTGTCGGTGACGTTGAGAAACGGGTAGACCCAGTCGTCGCGCCACGACGAGCGTCCGACCCACGCAAACGCACCAAAAACTGCGGGAAAGAGACACGACGCATACACGACACTGCGCTTCTGGACACTATAGTCGTTGAGAGCAAACTCGAGAAGCACGAGAACCGAGTTGACGCCGTGCTCCGCGACTTCGACCCACCGAAAGGGCTTGCTGCTGTCGTAGAGGATGGCCCAGAAGACCGTCATGACGAGAAGCGCGTCGGCCAGGACAACGTCAAAAAGCGTGTTGAGGCGGCGCGCATGCCCTTGCTGCACACTGCGCCATTGGACGACGAGGCTGTAGGCAAAGTAGATGGTCTGGAGGTTGAAGTTCCAGAACGTATAGTAGTCGTAATTGCGAATCCCCCCGGCACTCAAGTCGTCAATGAGCACGACGAGGTAAAAGACCACCGTCAGTGCGCGCGTGGCCAAGAGCAACGCGGGTCGTGGAAGCGGTGCAAAAGTGGATATATACGGAAGGGGTGTCTGCTTGTAGTACACGACAGCGAGAGAGCTGATGAGAACGATGGCGAGGAGGCAGCCGACGACGATCTCTTGCCACATGACGCTGGGTTTGTGTGCGACCAAGGCAATTGAAAAGTGCTGAAAACGCAACAATGCGGCGGGTGCCACGGGACACCCAGCGTCGCAACAGCCGGTACGCTACCGCGGTCCCACCCACGGGATTTCCAAGCCATGGTGTGAGTCACCTGTGGACCGACTAGACTCAGTGGCAATCGCAAAGATTCCTGTGCTTCTGTCGACCATTTTTTCGACGAAAGACACGACACGACCAATCTGGTTCCAACCGAGTTAAAGCAGGCAATTAGCATTCTTTTGGACGCCTCGTTCTCAAATATGATGCTAACGAATGAGGCAATACTGCCTTGCCGAGCGACGGGCGCACGGCACTCTTCCGTGTCGCCTCTTGCGTGGAATATACATACCCGCATCAACATGCGGTCGTGACGTGGCGGACTCGAAGAGCTGGATTGGCACACTATTAAACAGTAGACGGCGCATTTTTAATCATGACACAACCTCGTCCGGGGGTCACCAGGTTTTTTTTCAAAACCCATATATATATGTCGTGAAAACTGGCCAACGGTGGCGTGTTAAATCGATTGAAAACAGTGTTCCCTTTGGAAATATCCTTTTTCTGGGTCCACAGGCATCCCAATTCGGCCTAGTTTGACCTACCGGATTAGAAACCGGAGTGTGTTCCGAGGAGCAGCGCTTTTTTCGTAACAGCAAATACGCAACCGCCGCCCGACGTCGATGGTAGGGCACCCGCGCACAAGCCACGGCTGCATCCATCTCACCTAGCGCGCTAGGCGCAGCGCGTCAAAGGCTCAACCAAGCGTCTGCGCATGACGCGATCGTCCGTACCGCCGTCGATGGCGCATA